GGCATAGAATCGCATCATCGCGAAAAGCGACACTTATGAAATTTCGTAAACTCCGATGTCAGACACGGAATGCAGCAATGTCACTACTATGTTCTCAATACCTGCTAACACTTTTTGGATTTTTCTTGTGTATGAATTTATGATTAATCATTTTTTCGTGGAAATAGTCGCATTTCGGCTTATTTGAAAGAGAAAATCCATGTCCGTATCATGAATAAGTCACGCAGTCTATTCATACGAAAATTAAAAGAAAAAGTAATGAAAAACATAATTCAAAAATTTCTTAATCTAGTTAACCGTGATTCGAAAAAATTAGTCGTGAGTCGTGAAATCGCCAAATTTTTAGCCGTGAGTCGTGATGCGTACCACCCCATTGAGACCCTCTGTTTTGGGATTCCTGTGGCACATAAAAATTTCGAACATCCGCCGCCATCTTTGAAAACCATCTGTTGACACTTGATGGGGAGTAAGATCCATACTAGCCGGCTAGTAAAAGTTTAGTTTAGAATTACCGTAACGTGCAAGAGCCTGTTTTGTCGACCATATAGTCGGTATGTCTATGTATGCATAGCACAAAAGATTCAACGCTTTGTCAAGCATTGTCAAAATCAGTCACGGAGAGTCAAACAAAAATAAGCTTAAGCTTAAATTGTGATCGAGTGAGGGCCGCCGGTACGAGGATTCTGAAATGAATAGAGCGTCTAAAAATCGAGTKATTAATAAATTCCCACAGGTAAGAGGCGACATCAAAATAATATTAAGATTGCAATAGTAGTCTAGGGGTTTTGTATATAGTCAACTTTTTGAAATTATAGAAGTCAAAATCAACTTAAGCTTAAGTCTATAAGCAATCTTGTTATCGATTCAAGCATAGTTAATATGATTCAAGTTTTAAGTTTATAGTGTCTACACCAGCATTTACCTACATGYAAGCTTACATTTTCGATTTGAAGTAGAGGTTTACTTTAAAAACAAACGCTATACATCTTTTATTGTTATATATACCCTTATCTTTATTTATTGTATTTTGGTAACCATGGAAATATTTTCTAGCATTTTGTAACAGTTGCTTGTTTTGTGATGTAGAACGAGGGTAAATTGAGAAGGTTATGATCTGTGTACTCAAGCATAATTTTTACATAGTAAATTTTCATTAGTTAATTTATATTACAGCAAATGATGATGATGATTATGATCAATGATGATATGTTTAATAAATTCTAATGTTGTAGCCCTACACAAAGGATGCAGCACCAAGACAAGATGGTAACTTTCACATAAAAACCAGAGATGCGTGCGCTTCTGGAAACACAAGTAATATTGGGCAAGTTTGGTCATTTTACTAGTATWAGGAATCAGATTTCTATAATGAAATTATGGTTTTAGAAATAATTTTGATTTTTTTCCTGATATTTTTTTACAATAACGATATATTTTTTGTTGTCAATATAGGCTCAGAGTATGTAAAGCAATAGTGATAGGAGATGTTGCTGTTGGGAAAACGTGTCTTATAAATAGGTATGTCACTAGGTATAATAAAAAGTTTTTTTTCACATACGACATCCATTCTTAAGTAGCCAGACCAGAGTCTCATGGGCATGAATGCTTTGTGTGTGTACATGCATATCTTTGAAATCTGTTTGACCATCTGAGTTTTGTGGTAACTTCATTTTAAGATTAAAATCAACAGCTCATTCTTACTCATGACCCCCTAGGTTTCTAGTGATGTCATTCTCTTAAATGATTTTTATCCAGATCAAGAATAATTTTTTTTTTGGCAACATTTGCGCCCTCAGGGTATTTGGGTATAGTTTCATAATTATATAAAGAATGCTTAACGTTTTTTGTGATTTGTAGGTTTGTTCGCAATGCATTTGACAATGACTATAAAGCAACAATTGGAGTGGACTTTGAAGTGGAAAGATTCAAGATTTTAGATCAAGATTTTAATTTACAAATGTAAGGCAATAAATTTGGAATSKTTTWATTGAAGTGTTTTACAAATGACTTCTGATYTTGGYTGATTTTTCAGATGGGACACAGCAGGCCAGGAAAGGTTTAAATGCATGGCTGCGGCATATTACAGAGCAGCTCACGGTATGTGTGTAATAGCCGATGTTAAATATTTTGGTTCAGTGACCATGCACAAAAGAATTGTAGACAAAGGTCTGGCAAAGTAAAATAATATATTAATAATTAATATTAGCCATTGTTTCCCTGGAGCATCGTCTGATATTTTTTTTTACATTTTAGTGACTCAAGAAAAATCTATCTAAAGTCGACTATTATTATAACATATTTTCGGATGTCAATATAGTGCTATAATTGATTTATTTTTGTGAATATTCTTTTTTCAGTGATTATATTAGTGTTTGACATGACAAGTGTGACCAGTTTAGAAAATACAAGGTAATGTACTGGTGAAATCACAATAAATGAAATTTTTCCTTTGAACACATGAAACATAGCATCCTATGTAGGTTACACCTCATTATCCCCTTGTGTGATCTTTCTGACATCTGTTTGGCTGTGGGGGAGGGGGGGGGTGATTCCTTCAGGGTCATATTTATCATATTAAAGGTAGACAAAGGAAGCTCAAAAGTAGAAAGGAGAGTGGAAAGAAAGACAGATGTTTGCAGAGGAGGCTTTATGACGAAATTATTTTTATAATTTATTTCTGATCAGAGCTTCTGTGAATGATCATCTGTTGATAACTTGAAATTTAAATAATGATATTAATTGTAGCTTTGTGAAAGCGGGCACTCTAATTTTAATCATGCTGTCATGATAGTCTTCTTTGTGTCCATTTTGATTTTGGATTCCCAAACAACATTTGAATACAGGGACAAGGATCCAAGATAAGGAGGGGTGCAAAAAAATTATTTTTTTTTTAATTTTAAATTTCATTTATGTTTAGACGATGGCTTGATGAATGTCTTGACAGCAATAGCAACTGTTATCCTGAGGTTTTCTTAGTTGGAACAAAGAGAGATTTATGTGTAAGTTCAAAGCACACATACCATGACAATCTTTATTAATCAACTTCTTTTTTCACCAACCATTCATTAATTATCACCCAATGGGAAAATTGAGAAGGTTAATAATTTCACATAGGTTTCAAATATGGCAAAAGTATCCAGCCCAAAGGTCGAGTATCATTATTAATAATACTAAATTATTATAATGGTATCATTAGACTCAAAAGGATATTGATAAAATGGAAACRAGGGCAATAGGCATGGCTCAAGACTTACACGCAGAGTTTTGGTGYGTTTCATCCAAGTCAGGTATGTACTATTTTAGCAATGACAAAAATTATAATTTCACTTTAAATTAAAATATAACTTTTAAGTGATCAAAAAAATTAACTTTTTTTCTGAAACATGATGGTCCTTCATTGGGGTCAAGAACAAAGCTTGTAGCCTGCCATATATAGTCTTGCAGAAAATTACTGTCTAATGTACAAGCTTACCAAAACCATGCCAAAGTACTAAAAATCATAACTCAAGGTTTCTATGCTTTTTAATCAATCTATTGTAGGTGTGAATGTAGCAGAGTTTTTCTGTCGTATGGTAGCCATTACATTTGAACAAGCTATTCTCAGAGGGTTGGAAGAAATGGAGCAACGGCAAGGCACTGGAAGACAAATTGGGGGACARATTGGAGGTGGCATAAAAGGTAAAAATCCAATAAATGTCAATTTTTAGAAATGCCCAATGCATATTTTGTGTAAAAAACTCTGAACTTCAGTGTTTGAATATTTTCCCAATAAATAATTTTTGGAAAGTATAATTTTGAGGATAACGTTTTAATGTGAACTAAACCATGGTAACAAGATAAGTCACTAATGATGAAAGGTTTCTTGTGCATGTACAGTACGTCTATATTAAGCTTATTTTGTTGAAATGTTTGCATTTTGATTTCAGTAAACAAAAAAATTGATTTATCAGAAGACAGGGAAGAAAAGAAAGTCAAATCATGTTGCGCTGGTCAAGTCAAGTAATTTGATAAAAAAAGGAGACTTAATCGCACATGAATGAACAAGTACTGCTACATCAATGACACAGGAAGCCCAGTTAAAAATAACTGCCACAGGAAGCCCATTAATTATATCTATATGAATTATTTAAGAATAATTAAAATTTGTGTGAAAAAGAAGTGAAATTAGAGATTAGAGACARAATAGGCTTATGTCAAATTTATTATTTATAAATGTATATTTACAAGGTATTTCTAATTAACAATTAGACCTCGAGGTCGAGTTGACTACGAGCTAATAGCCCATGAGGCCAAGTCTGCRAGGTYRAGGTTGAGGCCGAGAGGTCTAATTGTTTTAGTATAAACATACTAATCGGTCAAATAATGAAAACAAATTGAAATATCCTAATAATTTATTAATGAGATGCCGCCATTTTGATTTTCCAGCGAGTGGTCTATCAYAARTTAGACCATTAGTAGAGTAGCCAATCACAGYGCAGTATGAGTGATAGACCATTAGTATGTTTATACTAATATTAAGTATTCTAGATTTTGTACTTTCTGTATGGTTTATGAATCGATTCACAAGCCTATTTGTAATTTTAGATCTTTCACCTGGTTGACAATTTCCATTATTGACTCAGACCTGAAATATTTGGAAAAAATAAATAGATTACAAATATAATAAAAGGCAACTGAATCTGTGAAAGTTTGATTATTCTTGGTTTCAGTGACTTATTGTATCCAAACTTTCCTTGAGAAATGAACAAAAGATATGTCAGCTGTGCTGGTGAATGTAACAATAGAAAGTTATGCACACAAATATAGCCACTGTGACATGTGAAAACCAAGAATACTGTTTAGTGCTTTTAAGAAAAAGGGCCATGGTCCACCAACATTTAATGATGTTATGTATTTTAGATTTTGAAATTCCTGAACTGTTTCAGTTTTCAGGTCGAATCTTACAATATTTATCGATCTCCATTCATAGAGAAATTATAAAGAGCACTCATAAAGTCCTTGAAATTAGGAAACCCCCCAAAAGCTGGTGGAAGATGCAGTCTACATATTGTTTTTTAAATTTTTAATTGAAATGACATTTAAAAGTACTCGAAAAGTCCTGGAATTTTGTGCTGAAAATGAAGGACGACCCTAGTTGTAGTATTTAGTCTAAGACACCATTCTATTGACACTACTTTTTTAAAATACTTACTCATTTGTAAGAACACTGCGTATATTTTTCTGTTGCGCAGAGGTAATTACGGGAAGGCTGTTATCACTACTGCTACTTTTACGTCTTGTYTTGTGGTCATATTTTGCTTTGATCTAAAGGAATAGTGAGAATAGCACAATGTTCAAATATAACAATATGATTTACTCAAAACAGTACCATACTTGGAAACAAAGGTTAGAATTGTCAATAACATATGACACAGGTTTGGTGAAGAAAGAAACCTCATTCAAGTGAATAGATTGGGAGTTACCAATTTCCAGGAAGAAAAATAAGAGCTGGTCAACAGACAATGTCTGGTGAAAATTTCTTGAATGTGCAAATAGATATTTTTGCTAAAAAAATGTTTTGAGCAGTCAAAGTAGAGCTTTGCCAGACATTGTGTCCACCTGCTAATCTGCCATTTTATGCCAAGGAGAAACAACAACATACAGTCATATTAAAGCCCCACGTGCATCCAAAAACGTTTTTTTCACATTACTAAGATAATTTGCCATTTTTGATTTTAAACCAACCAGAAACAACATCAAAATAAGCCATCACAAAGGTTCCAAGATGTACATGGGCTTTAAAGCATTATTTTTACCAATTTTATACCTTTTATTAACAATTGCCAAATGTGATTTATACTTTCTTACCTGAGATAATGAAGCAATKAGAAACGATGCCTGAAGCTGAATAGTTTCCAATTCACTTTTCATGTCTTTTTCTGCATTTGATAGAACTGGAATGTGTGTTTGAATTTGTTGACAGATTGATTCAATTCTGTAAAGTAAAACAAAATGTTTACAGTCTCAAGGGTTATTGAATTTTTGTCCATATATTGTTATATTTAACCATATGTTTTTTTTGGAGGGGGGGAGGGCAAGGCAGGGCAGGGTAAGGCAGGGGAGAGAGGGGAGGGGAGGCTATGAGATTTTTGGAGGGGAATTAAAAGGCTGGCTAAAATCCCTGGTTAATGGTGAGATTAGACTTTATGCATAAAAAATTAWGTTTAAAATCTCCAGAAAATGGTCAAAACCTGAACGCATTTGTGGCATCTCATACATTCATTTCTCTAGAAATTCTTGRCATGAATATTATTATGAAAGGCTGTGACCTATTCACAATATACCTGTAGTTGACAACAACTTCTTGTGATTTACCTTTTTATAA